GGGGGGTGGATTCAGTGGGAGGATGCTTTCCTGTTCTGCTACCCCACTTCTTCCTTTTGGAATTAGAGATTTGTATGGGGTATTCGAGGACACTCCATAAGTCTGTTAAATCTTTCAGGAGTTTGAATTTCACTCACCCTCCTACCATGTAGTGTACCCAGTCTAAACCATTTCATTTTTGCTTCTGGGCTGTTTAATAGTAAACTTTAAACCACTGGGTCTCAAATCAATTATTGAACAAAATTGTCTTGATATTCTTATGCAACATTATCTGGCCTGAGTACAAATTGGACAATAACTCAAAACAGCCACAAGATGGGCTTTTGATTTAAAAACCCAACAAGATCCTAACAATTTCTGCTAATGTAACAGCAGGTATTTTGGAATTCCCTGTTTGCAAGCTTTCTCTCTTCTTCCTTCCCATTCCCTATGTCAAGATCGTCCCACTCCTCAATTACTGCTCCCAGACAATGAATCACCTTTCAGCCTTCAAATCCCACTCAGTCGCTGCAGTGATACCTGTGGTCACAGTTCCACCTCCACCTGCACCAGCCTTCTCTCCTCCCCCTTAAAAACCTCTTCCTATTTTATCTCCAACACTTCCAGCTCCTCCCAACCCTTCTCCAAGCTGGCATTGGATAATCTGATTATCAGCCACTACACTGTCTTCTCCCTCTTCTGGCTCACAATTCTCTGGTCAGTCACCTTCCTCACTGTCCCCTCCCACTTATCTTTCATCACCATCACTCCTACTACTGCCACCATCTTCTCTGCTATTGGACACCTCTCTTCTGCTGACTTTGTCTCCACCCTTTACTTGTTCACTTTCAGCGAATCACAGCTCAAAAGCTAGTATGATACCCTCTTCAGACGCTGCCCCACCCTCCGTTTCCACAAGGTTTCTGGAGCTGAAGGATTTGTTGAAGTACATATCCCTGGAGACACAGTGTGGGAATTGTACCCAATCTGACCCTACCACAGAGGTCCTAGCTAACAACATAAGGCAAAGAAAAGACATCAAAGGTATTTGTGTGAGAAAGGAAGAGGTGAAACTATCGTTAT